GTGGTCATTTCTGCCCAGTGACTGTTAAAGCAGATTTGTGTTGCCAACTAGAATACGCTAGCTATCTGCACATCCGTCCTGTATCTACATAGGCACAAATGCTGAACCACATTCTCCCCAAACTGAGCAAGCCACTGCTATGGAGGCCTCACCAATTCACAATGACAGTGCACAACCAGGGCAGAGCTGGCCCTCAGTGTTTCCGAGACTATAATCTTTACAGACACAGACGGTCTTATCTTTCCCTAAAGGAGCAACAAGCAGGTATGAAATAACAATCTCTGACTTGCAGCTGAGTACTTTAAACACTGCCATCCAGGTTCAGTAAGACTGGATACATTTAAAAAAAAAATTGATGGAGCTGAGCAATCAGAAAAAATAATAACACAACAGTAATTTGAAGGAAGTTGGCAAGTAAAACAATCAATTACCTAAATGAACTAAATTCTCAAATTGTGACTAAAAGGCTTAGCTAACACAGATATAGTGGATTTTATTACTTATTATAAAAAACTACTTCTGGGAAAATTTAAATTTATCAGTTTCTAGACTGAAGCACAAAGTTTTACCTAGTCAATTTGGAACAGGAATAAGAACACAATAATGGGCTCCGTTTTTAACATATGCTAGAACATAGTAATTAGGAAGATTTTTCCTTCTATAAAAAAGTAATTTGAATTGTTGTTATTATGTATCATTGAGTCAGAACTGACTCATAGCTGACCCTCCAGCAGGTTTTCAGAAGCAGTTTAATACATGGGAATTAATTGCCCGGTTTCCCCTGCACAGCACCTGGCGGATTTGAACCTTGTGCCTTTGAGTTGACAGCAGAGCTCTTTAATACTTGGCCAGCAAAGTTCTTTAGTTTATGAGTAAACACATCAAATAAGCAAGCAGGGAAACTGAAGAGCTTCTGAATGAATTATTTAAATCCACCTTCCATATTTCTATGCTGATCTATTATTTTTGAACTGCTAACCCAAAAGGTAACTCCTCTGCAAGCTGGAATCCATTAGCAGCTCTTCAGGAGAAATGAGCAATCTCCTCCCGTGTATTTTACAGCCTTGGAAACCTGATCAATGATCAGTTACGAGTTGGTTTCAATTAAATAGACTGTGAGTGGGGGTGGGTAAGGTAGGTGGTGAGCCTTACATTATTAAGGTAGAACGGAAAGATTTGCCATACTGCTGTTGTGGAGAATTACAGAAGAGTTAACATGATATGTTTGTTAACACTACAACAGCAATAAGGAACAAAATCCGAAATAGAATGAGCAATTCATCTCCAAGCAAAACAGTAGAGTTGCTATTGACTTGGTGCTGGTAGTGTTAGGTGTTATCTAATCGCCTCGACTCCTAGTATCTCTGTGTAGTCCAACAAACAAAACTTTGCCCCATCCTCACAATCTCCACTGTGCTTAAGCTCATTTTTTCAGTCACCGTGTCAATTTATCTCACTGAGGATATTTCTCTTCTTCACTGACACTGTTCTTTTCTAAGCATGATATCCTTTTCCAAAGGCTAGCCATATCTGATAAACTTCCCCAAAGTATGTGAGACCATCTTAGAATTTCAGCTTCTAAGGAGCACCCTGACTGCACTTCTTTCAAGGCAGATGTCTATTCTTGTAGTAGTCCATGAGCAGTCCAAGAGCATAGTCAATACTCTTTGACAACACCACAATCCAAAGCTATCAATTCTCTGGTCATTTCTTCACTGTCCAACTTTCTGATGCTCATGAGGTACCTGAAAATACCATGCCCTGGGTCAGGCACACTTTTGTCTTTTAAGTGACATCCTTGTTCTACCACACTTTACAGCAGTCCTGGGAAGAACTACTGAGATATGCGCACTGCAGAATGTCTTGATTTGACTGCTATTTCCATGGGTGCCGACTGTGGATCCAAATAAAAGTCAGTCATTGCCCTCTGGTCCAGTTGTGAAGACTTTTTTGTTTTCTCGATGCTGAGGTATAATTCACACTGAGAGCTCTAGTCTTTGATCTTATTTTTTCCCCAATAGTTTTTTTCATTTCATTGAAAGTTTAAAATCATGTTCTCATATAGTCAATTATATTTTGCTTTATAACATTAATCACAATGTCTCAATCCCTTATTGTGTACTGTCTTTCCTTTCACTGAGCTTATTTATTTTTTACTCCCCTTTTCCTACTTCATCCCTATAACCCTCCAAAATTTATTCTGTGTAAACCTTCCTTCCATTTATACAACAGTGGTCTTTTAAGTTTGTTAATGATTCCATCTTGCTTAGATCTAAAATCAACATTCTTGGTATCAGCAGTCAAGAAATCAAAAGACAAGTTGCCCTGAGAAAACCTGTTGTCAAGGATCTCTCCAGACTGCTAAAGAGTAATGATGTCACTTTAGAGTCTAAGGTGCATCTGGATGCAGGCCATGGTCTTTTCAATTGTTTTCTATGCATCTGAGAAGTGGATAACGTATTCATTATCCAGATGACAGAAAAAGAATCAAAGTCTTTAAGCTGCAGTCCTGGAGAAGAGTACTGAGCATATCATGGACTGCCAAAAGAACAAATAAGTCTGTCCTGTAGAGGGTAAAACCAGTTTGCTCCATGGAGGCAAAGATTGTGAATCTCCACCTTACATATTTTGGACATGTTGCCAGGAGGGACCAGTCCTTGGAGAAGGATATCATGCTTGGAGGGGTAGAGAGGGTCAGTACAGAAGAGGAAGACCTTGGATGAGAGTGACTGTGGTAATGGGGTCAGGTTTATCTGAGACCACGAGGCTGGCTCAGGATAGGCCAAGGTTCAGAGCCACTGTTCATCGGGTTGCTATGACTTATAGTCAACTTAAAGGCACATAACAACAACATACCATAACTGTTTATGTTAATATCTCAGAGTGTCTTTTGTCATTCACCAACTGATGGGAACTTGAGTTGCTTCCAAGTTTTTATTATTATAAATACACACAAATATGCATATATGTTAGCATGTGTTATAGATCTTATCTCTTCAGGATATATACATAGTAACAGGATCACTAGGTCAAACGGTATTTTGATTCCCAACTTTCTAAGGAAGTGTCAAACTGCTTTTCATAATTGCTGTCCAAGTTTACATTCCCATAAGCAGTGTAAGAGTGCCGATCCCTCCACATCCTCAGCAATATCTATTGTTTGCTCTCTTGTTGAACTTTGCGACTGCTGCTAGGGTGAGATACTATCTCAATGTTACTCTCACTTGCATCTCTTGATTAGCTAATAAGTGAGTTGTGGTGGCCCAGTGATAAGGAGTTGTGCAGCAATCCCAGACGCATACAGTTTGAATTCACCAGCTACTCTGCAATCCCCTCTTGTCCAATATACTACTGCCTCCGAAAACCCACTGGAGGATCAACTAAGGGTCAGCCCTTACTCGATGACACATAACAACAGCTAATGATCTTACGTGTTTCTTCATGTGTTTGATGTCTGTCTAAGGGTCTCTGGTGAAGTGTTTATTCATGACTTTGCCCAATTAGAAATTGAGTTGTTTGAGTTCTTTGTCCTTTTCTTGTCAAGATGTTGGATTTTTCTACAAATTTTAGAGAGCAGTCCCTTGTCAGATTTGTCACTGCAAACTATTCTTTCCCAAACTATAGGCTCTCATTTACTCATCTGAAGGCATCTTTAGCTATACCTAAGGATTTAATATTTTGGAGGTCCCAGTTGTCTATTTTAGCCACTCCTTTGTCTACATTTTCAGTTACATGTGATAGGTTAATTATACCACAGAATAGGGCTTGTCCTGATTTACAGTTTTTAGGTTTTACTCATCCTTGATCCAATTCAAGATGGTGGGAGGTATGGGTCTTGTTTTGATTTCTACAAATAGATAATCCATTTTTGCCAGCACCATTTGTTAAAGAGACTATATTACATTCATTTTCATAATAGTCCAGCTGTGAAGATTACTTGTCCAGCATATAAACTGAACAGATAACACTGACACACACCTTTTCTAATTTTAAGCCATGTAGTATCCCCTTGTTCTGTTCGAATGGTTACTACTTGATCTATGTATAGGTTCAACAAGAGTGTTCTAGAATTCTCATTCTTCTTAATGCTATCAATAATTAATTATGATCCACACATCAAATATTTTTACAGGTTATAAACCACACGTTTATGGTCCACTCTGTTTTCAGCCAAGATCTCAATGACATCCGTGGCTTCTTCTGAATCAAGCCTGAATTTCTGATAAGTACCTGTCAGTTTCCAATCCAGCTGCTGTTTAATGTTCAGCAAGATTTTACTTGCAATAATTTCTGCATTTTGCTGTTCCACCTTTTTTTCGAACGGGCAGGGCACAAATATGAATCTCTTCCATATTTCCAATCAGTATCTCTGGATCTCAGGAACTCTGCCTTTCTCTAACTAGACAAGTAGTTGCCTTCAAAACTGTCTGCATAACAAGTAAGTATGTCTTAGTGTTAGAAGAGAGTATGACTTAAGTTGCCAAAGTACTCCAAATTCAGGTTTTGACTATCACCTTACCCCCAGAACCACAATTACCTTTTTGTCTTGACAGTGTCATTGCCAAGGCAATGATTCCCACAATTACTGTTGATCTGTAAATCAATAATAGAGAAGGCAACTTACATGGCATCTACTATGACATCCAAAAATAAACCAGAGGAACAGAACAGCTGTGCTAGAAGAAAGATGTAACAGCAGAAGACATCAATGGTAGTATAATATTCAAAATCTCTTGAATGCTTCCATTCAAGGTCACCTTGCAATTAAGCACTGCTTAGTTTGCTATGTGCTTCTACATATTTATATATGCATTCTTAAGGAAGATGATTAAAGATTTTGAATAATCACTTAAAAAGAGCAAATTAGAAAGACTATTGTGATTTTTAATCCTTATTGCTGAAATGTTTTTAAAATATCTAATATCATCTTACCTATTTATATTTCTAATGCACATAGATAATATCAAATGTTGAATTATAAGTACATATATAAATAGTACCTGAAATTGAACTCTTGGACATTGAATCAGAGACAAATTAGTACCAATTTTCCTTACGATACTTCGAGATGAACCATATGGCTTCCCAGACCAAAGTACCTGAAGATGGAAGAAAAAAAGAAATAATTACAAGACTTCTAGAACTTAGCAATCAAAACACTGGTCAGTTAAGTGGATGGCATGCAGTCACAGGAATTATGATATTAGAAATATTATAGATGTTAGGTCGTTGTTGCCATGTACCATCAAATCGGAACTAACCCACAGCTAACCATCAGCTAGTTTTAAGAGGTGATAAAATGCATGAGACAAAACTGTCCTATTTCCTGCAGAGTGCCTGGTAGATTTGAACTACATACAAGTTGGGCTTATAGCACAACTCTTTACCACTAAGTCACCAGAGTTCACTCTAAATGATACAGGAAACGGAAAACTAAAGCATCAGAAAGCTAGACAATGACTACAGATGACAGATGGAGAAGTGATGCCTTTAAGCTGTGGTGTTGGAGATGATTAATGAATATACTACAGACTGCTAGGACAACAAACAGGTTCGTCCTGGAGAGGGCTAAACCAGGCTGCTCCTTGGAGGCAAGGGTTTTTTGAGGCTTTGTCTGACATACTCTGGACTTGTTGCAAGGAGAGACCAATCCCTGGAGAGGGACATCATGCGTGGAAGGACAGTGCAGGAGAGGAAGACCCTCAATGAGATGGCCTGATTCTGTGACCAGGGAGGTATGCTTATCACAGACAATAAGATTGGCACAGGATAGAGCAGGGTTTAGGGCTGATGTACGTGGGGTCACTATGAGTCGCAGGCAACTCGACGGCACATAACAACAATAACAACATATATAGCTAGCCATTATGAATGAAAAAGTTTAATACAACATATTATATAAGCATGCAGAACTAGCAATTAAAATATTATTTTTGTCATTAAAATTACTATGTTTGATAGTATTTTTCAAAGGAAATACTATTTTACCTCTTCTGCTTTACTTTCGTTTAGAATTTTCTATGTGTAAAAATTTTCAACATTTGAACTACTTTTCTTATAACACATTTTCCAAAACAAATACAAATCACTATGGAGTTTAACAAACTTAGTGTCCCATGCATGGTGCTCCAGGTTATTTGCTGTACGTGGCCAAGGGTGAGTAGTGGCCACAGGCCAGGTACATTTGGATCACCAAGGAATATATAAGGAATACACACACACACACACACACATACACACTTTCATATATCTGTATATTTTTAAAAAACAGTGTTTTCTTATTATGTTTTCTTAACTGCGAATGCAGTCCCCCAGTACAAATTACACAGTTGAGTTTCACACGTTTGGGGAAATTCCAGGGTCAGCACATCTGGGGTGCAATGGATAAGCCTCACCCTGGGAAAACCACCGTCATGATCATGGTATCTCTCCTGCCAAGTAAGTAAGGACTTACTTACTTATTCTTGTGAGATCCTACCCTCCAGAGAAAAATTTCTTACCCTCCTTTACACAAAGCACTACATGTGCAAGAGGTGACCCTAAGAAGCAGAATTTCTCAGGTCAAATGATAATACACACACGGCATTACACGAAGCTTGAGGCAATACAAGAAACAAAGCCCCAAATTGGCAAAAAACAAACCAAAGGCATACATGTAGAATGTCAAGTCATTTTAAATTGTACCTTGAAATTTCTCCCCAAGTATATGCTCTTTTCCTTAAAGCGAAAAACTACGCTGTCAGTTTTGAGTGCTAGATGTGAAAGCCTGGACAGAAGAGGTGAAGACTAGTAAGTTTTACTAGGAGTCTACTAGTAAAAGCAATTTTTAAAATATTGAGAATGATAAGACTGTAATATTTATTCAATTAACTTGAACATTCTCATACTTGTATCCTAAAACTGAACAAGTAATTCCAAACCAACTGGGAAGGTATTCTGAAGTCACTAGCAGTTAAAAACAGAATTATTCCCATAAACCATTAAGCCAAACACTAAATATCACTGTAAACAACAGTGATCCATCTAACTGAACATCTAATTCCAACATCTAACTGAAGGTGGACAAACAGAACATTCTACAAGCATGCACAATTTTTAAAATGAGCACCAAAGCAATCTGATTTCTTAGATTTTAATGACCAAATCCAACAATTCAGAAATGAAAATATGAGACAAAGTGAGATACCAGGGATACCTCTAGCACCATTTCAGCTTTTCTAGAATTCTCACCATCAAAACAAAACCAGAAGGCAATAATAACCATGTCATTCGATCATTTCTCTTCTTCAGTTTCATGTCAGTAGTCACAAAAGTCTACTGTGATGTATGAGGAGAGGTATGTTATTTTGTGTATCACAATGTGTTAACTGCACAGTCTAATATGAATTTTTCTCCCTTCCAATAAGAAAAGATGATGCCCAGAAATACAGAAGACAAAAAGCTGATAAAGAAAAACTTAGAAAGGATTAGCCAAGGTCAAGAATTAATTTTTCCACCAGCTGTAAGGGCTAAGTTTCAACAATTCTCTTCCCATCTAAGTAATATCAAACAGGAAAAAATTTCTGGTGTCTTCAAAGATACAACTTTCACTTAAAATAAATACGTAAACAACTTAGTCTTCTTCTACACAACTAAAGAAGGAAAAAAACAGATTGTTTTAAGCAATTATTTCTCAAATATACACAGGAGATTAACATACTTTTCTTCTGTCACTGGTGAACTGAATAGCACATGTTGTTGTTGTTATGTGCCGTCGAGTCGTTTCCGACTCAAAGCGACCCTATGCACAACAGCTCTAAACCCTGCTCTATCCTGCGCCAACCGCACCGCCTCTGACACACCCATCCCGATTACCCCAGTCACCGAATCAATCCATCTCATAGAGGGTCTTCCCCTCCTGCGCTGTCCCTCCACCCTCCCAAGCATGATGTCCCTCTCCAAGGACCCGTCCCTCCTGGCAACATGTCCAAAGTCTGTCAAACGAAGCCCCAGAATCTTTGCCTCCAAGGAGTAGCTTGGTTTAATCCTCTCCAAGATGAATCTGTTTGTTTTCCTGGCAGTCCATGGTACATTCAGTACCCTTCTCCAGCACCACAGCTCAAAAGCATCCACTCTCCTTCTGTCTTCCCTAGTCATTGTCCAACTCTCTGATGCATAACAAGCGATTGCAAAGACCATGGCCTGTATCAGGCGCACCTTAGTCACCAGAGAGACACTGTTGCTCCTGAGTACCTTTGAGAGGTCCCTAACAGCAGACTTTCCCATTGCGATACGTTTTTTGATTTCCTGACTGCTGGTGCCAAGAGTGTTGACTGTGGAGCCGAGCAAACTGAACCTGTGAACACTCTCAATCTCTTCGTCATCCATCCTGACGCTGCTAATTGGTCCAGTGGCGAGAATCTTTGTCTTCTTGACATTGAGCCTTAGTCCATACTGAAGGCTGCAGTCCTTGACCCTTCGCAGCAAGTGCATGAGGTCCTCCTCAGTTTCAGCAAGCAGGGTTGTGTCATCTGCATAACGGAGATTGTTAATAGATCTTCCACCAATCCTGATGCCACAATTCTCCTCATAGAGCCCAGCCTCTCGGATAATCTGCTCTGCATACATGTTGAAAAGGTCTGGAGACAGGATGCATCCCTGGCGTACACCCTTCCCAATTTTGAACCATGCAGTGTTACCCTGCTCTGTTCTGACTACTGCCTCTTGGTCCAAGTATAGGTTTCGTATTAGCACAATTAAATGTTCTGGGATTCCCATTCTTCTCAGAGTCAGCTATAGCACCAAGAAAAACTGAGCAAGAGTCTATGCCAGTTTATGACAGAAATATCTGGAAAGCAGAGGTGCCACCACTCTTATGGAATGAGAGACAAAAGGGAAAAGTGCAGATAACATCCAGGAACTCCAAAACTAGGTCGTACTTCAGATGCTTTTCCCCCACACCCCTTACTCGCCCCTCAGGGGGAAGGAGAGATTGTAAATGGCTGTGAAGAAAGTGTGAGCAGATGGCCCTGAAAAGTCACCATCTGTGCACACAGAGGCTCTGTGACCCAAGCAGGTCCTTTACCCTCACTTGTGGCTGGACCCATCCGCAATGTACGTTTGGACAGAAGACTTCCTCTACTGGGAAACTGTAACTGCTAGGTTCCACCCTGCCCGCCCCCCCCAACACACAAATGCAAGACCAAAAGCGGGAAGGAAAAACTATCACTTGAGATAATCTGAAGAACTAGAGAATTCAATTCCACTAAGTAGACCAAAAAAACCCCACTACGCTTACAATCCCACTAAGCTCCCCCTCCCATGCTTTTATAACAATGGCTTATATAATATATGAACGATGAATTTGTGCATGAGCATGTCTGTAACCAGTAATGACAGTCCATAACATTCAGCAACAGTATTTAAAAGTGATGACAGCAAGGAAGAGGACGACAACAGGAAAGCAATTTGTTCTTTTTTAACATAGTGAAATGCTATTGTAGAAGTGTTAAAGTGTGAAGTTTTAAGCTGAAGCTGTCATGTCTCATTCACACTGGCTACATCCAAGTTGACTACCAGAGATATTTCATTTCTTAGACTGGTTTGTTCTAGGTTATTATTTGAGAGAAACTATTTAGCAAGAAAATGACAAATGTTATTCTAGTAAATATATTATTCTCAAGATAAAGGATGTAATACTAATACAGGGGTTCGTATCCTGAAGCTCAAGTGCCCCTTAGATAACATGAAAAATTCTGTATATATAGAATATTTTTCTAGGAAAAAAGTCATATTGTTAATAAAATTTTAAGGCAGTTTATGACACAACCAATCAAACATTTTTAATTTTAAGGGAGACAGGGTGGAAAAGCAAACAAACAAAAAATCCACAAGCCTTTGTTTTGAAGATATACATGTAAAATAGGAAAATTAAACGCTACTAACAATTTCAAAACCCCAAACCAAAGACATTACTTTGCCCAAGTCACTTCCTTTATACGCAAACTATTCATACTTACATACCTCTAAAGCACTAAAGGATACAATTCTTCAGCATTCCTGGAAATGTATTAGGAACACAAATTGGACACTTTTTTCAACCAAAATCAATGAATTCCTAAGAATCCCAATGTTTGTCATTTTATGTACTACTGAGTTGGAATTGACCCATACCTGACTTTCCAGTAGTTTTCAGAGGCAGTAAATCACAGGAGGAGACTTCCCCTCTTTCTCCCGCAGAGCAAAGGGCAGACTCAAACCTTGTGCCTCTGGGTTGGCAGCACGACTCATTACCACTTCATACTACTTTTTAATTCATTTAAAAACATTTATACTTAGAGAAGAAAGATAGAGTTCAGAGAAAGTTTGGAAAGATGTAAATACATGGCTTTCAATGCAAACAAGTGTTGAGGCAAAATGGCAGGCAGTGAAGAGAGCATGCAGGCATATGAGCCTGGCTATGAAAGCAGATTCTCCCACCTGCTGCCTATATCAAACTGGCCAAATTACTGAGCCCTCTCTGCTTAAGCTTCCATTTTTCAACTATAAAATGGGGACTTACTTCATGAGTCTGTTAAGTATTAAGTGAATAAAGATATTTATAAAATGCTTTACTAAACATTAACAGTCTTTCTCCTATTTTATTACAAAAAGTAGCAAAATCAAA